TTTTATTGATATTTAATAACAGATAGCTCAACCTTCAGAAAGAGAGGAATAACTTCTAGAGGAAATAGTTCATATTCAGCAGTTATTTCAAGGAGTAGTCATACAACTGCACCAGAGAAGTCGTGAATTTAATTTTTCTTATTACTTTCATAACAATTAATGGTTACTAACATTAATGGAAAGGGATATCGTACACTTCGTTTAGTCCATATTTACGCTTGTCATATGTTTCTACTAATATATAACCTACACTCCCTTTCCTCTTTTCTATTATCTAGTTTTCTTTGAGATTATTATTATCTGGAGCATAGCGAAGGACTTTACATTTCAGGTACACTTTGATTGATATGTCCGTCTGTCACAGTCACGTGACTATCACGTGATATGTGCTATTTATCATCACGTGACTCCAGCACTTACATGAGCTTTGATAGAAATGTCCGTCTGTCACAGTCATGTAATATTACCACGTGATCTTAGTATTACTTAACTAGATAATCTCGCAGTAATAAATCTTATCTAAAAAAAAAAAAGTTAATCTTACAATAATGAATCTTATCTAAAATAATGAATCTTATCTAAAAAAAAAACTCAATTTTATTCTTTAGAGCGTAGTTTGATTAATCCCATTTTATTGTCCAGAGCGTAGTTTATTAATCTCATTTATTGTCTAGAGCGTAGTTTTATTTTATCAGAGAAACTAATCGCTTCTCTTCAGCCTTCTTATCTTACACCATTTTAGAATTTTTTATATGCTGAAGTCTTTCAAAAGAAAACGGCCAGAATAGAAGATCTTTAAGAGCATGAACTCGAGACACCGCTACAAATGAAAGGCCTGCAGCGTATTCTCTTTCTCCAAGATCTATGATAGCCTTTGGTAGTGTTAGTCCTTGGCTCTTATGTACTGTAAATTGCCCAAGCAAGGCTAATTGGAATTTGTAAACGTGAACAAACTACATTTTTGATTCCCAGGTTTGTCGAATAGGTAATATGGGAACAAGTCTATTGCCTTCTATAGTTGTAATAGCAGGACCAGTATAGTCATTGAATTCAATAAGGACTGCTATTGGAAAAGAAGGTGGTCTTTGACCTTCTTCGAACAAAATCTCTTGGATGATCCCCATTGATCCGTTAACTAACCCTACTTCCGTCCACAAATTGGCTCTAAGCATAATATGTGCACCTCTAGCTAACAGAAGGTAAGCTTCAAGTCCTTTTGTTGTGTTAGAATCAGCCTTAGTTGCTTCGCAACCACCTGTATGTACAGCACAGATTTTGGCAACAGGACAGTTTAGAGATCTTAGCATATTAAAATTAACCTCATCAACGTCGATTTTTTGAGGTATAATACGTGTAGCATCTAGGAATTGATTATTCTCTACTCCAGGTGAATCAACAAGTCGCGTGGTAAGTATTTTCCAATCATTTATTGTGGATTCACCATTATGCAGGCGTAACAAAATATCTCTGAAATGGCATTGTTCTTCTGAGTTTTCAGATTGACGTTAAACAATGTCAACTTTATAGATTTCCTGAAATTGTTTGTATCCTATAATACTATCATTAAATAACGAATCATGTCGGAGGACTTGCGTATATATTGGGTCATCAAGTACTGGTGGAAGTTGTCCAAAATCACCAATCAAAATGACAGATCAACCACCAAAAGGTTGATCTTGTTGTTCAGGAAAAGCCTGCCGTAATCTCATATCAATTAAGGCAAATATTCAACGTCCAATCATACTTTTTTCATCAATGATAAAATATTCTACATCTTGCAATTTTTTTTGTAATTGTTTCAATCGCTCACCGTCTATTTCAAAGTTTTTGTTATTTACAGGGATAGAGAGTGCTGAATGAATTGTTGTTCTACGAATATTGAACGCTGCAACCCCAGTCAGCGTAAGTACAAGTACAGGTGATTTGTTAATCCTATTATCCCTCACTATCTCATTGAGTCGACCTTGAATTGCATTGATTAAATATGATTTTCCTATTCCTGCCGTTCCTATGATAATAATTCTAAAAGGGCTAATCTGGTTATTTGCAATCATAGCATTATAATGTGATTCAACCTGTTTAAATATTAACATCTGTTTTTCATTTAAAGTTTCAAAATTTACTATATCAGTAATTAGATTTCCAGCATCTATAGCATCTTCATTACGAGCTTGTTGCAGAAAAGTTGTCACATCTGTAAGATTGAGATTTGGATATCGCTGCCTAATACTACCAACCCAGTCATGATTTAAATCAATTTCACGTGAACCCAAATCTGAACAATTATCAATAATTGTATTTGGTCCCATTTCCGCTAAGTATATCCAATTAGATCGGATTTCATACTCATACTCATCATCTTCCTGCTTATCTTTCTCATTTTCCTCATCAATAATTTCATCTTCTACAATATCCACAGGGAGACCGATCAAATTAGGATAATTATTTTCAATTTTCATAATATGATAGTCAAAGAGGTCTGACCAAGAGACTGTATCATTTATAGTTAACTGTTGGAGGCTTCGGTGACAAACATGAAGTAAAACTTTCACACGACAAAACTCTTCCCATTGAAAGCCATTTTTCTGAGGTAACGGTCGTGGCTATATGTACACAATATTTTTATGTTTACATTGTTTTCAATGACCATTTGAAAACTTGTATTTTAAATATAGTTGAAATAATGAAATGTTTTCAAGTTCGGTAGGTCAATTCCAATATTTCTGTAAGGGTGATTTTTCCGTTTGTCTAATTTCTTCAGTTGTTGCAAATTCGTTTTCATTTCCAGTATCACAAAGCCATCACGATGTATCTTTGTTAAGGTTTAGTAAAATAAACTGACGGCTAGAATGATAAAGTAGGATTCCAAGAAGTAGGTGGCAAGTTTCTTGTGCAGATATATCACGTTCTGAGACAGTATGAAGCAGTAATTTCTGAAATGAGCTAAGTAATGGATCATCAGAATTGCTGTTACAAAGTATGCGATCTAATATCTTATTGAAAGCTACAGATCGTGGTTCTGATTTACTTGCATATTTAGAGATGTATTGAAGAGCAGCATGAATGCTAAGAACCGGTTTCAAATCAACATTTGCACGCCAACCTTAAAGTTGAAGTCGATCATGCGAATTTATATAAGGATCATTTTTTGCTGTAATGAGTTCTGGATGACCACGATCATCATTACGTATGCAGGTTTGTTCTACGATATCTTTTAGATATCCAAATCTACAAGATTGTTGTCCCTCACGATTGGTACGAAGACAGTATGAAGGACTACATCTCGTATAATGCTGCAATTTATTCACTAACTCAATATAATCCTGCTGGTCATCACGTAACTCATTATTATGTTTCTGACAGGGATGCCGATCAGGTATGGGTGCATCAACTTCTGGATTAATTGTCGTAATTAAGGAATTTAAATATTCCACTACTCTAATCATCATTTCATTATCTTCTTTCATTTTTTTCTAATCGATCACTGGTGCATCTTTACGCATTCCGATACTGTGTATGTAAATACTACCGCGATGCTGCCACTCAAACCTATATCACTAATCTTCTAAGTTCCATTTAGGAATTAGCATATCTTCCAAAAAAGATTTAAAGCGATTCTCAAAGAACCATGTGGCGATGTGAGGATTGTCAATCAGGTTTTGGCATCTACGTTTAGCTGCATCTTGCTCTGATTCTCCTTCTATTTGATTTTCACCATGTGGCATAAGTTTGTGGAGTTCTGGCCAATGTAAATCTGTGACACTGAATGTAAAAAATACCATCCCCTGTGATTCTAATTGTTTGATCATATCTGACAATTCAACTCGTCTTTTAATCCAAAACTGTTGGGTTCCACGCAGACCTTCACCAAATTGTACAACTTGTTCAGCTAAGTGATTATTACCTTTAACCATCTCTTGAACTTCTTTAACAGTAAGCTGATTATCATTCAAACTTTGCTTAACGTAGACTCTTGCTTCCTATATTGCCCTCCATTGCATTTGTGAGTTCAATGCAAAATATCGCCAGCGGGTATGACGTGCAAACCTACCATCTTTATATTTAAGTATATATTGAAAATATTCAGCAGGCTTGACATCTCTTATACGTTCTGCACGAAGGTCGGCTTTTCCAGTTGGATATAAAGCTGGAAAAGCACATGCAATATATCTGAGAGTATGAAATTCATTAATGGGATTTGCATTAATATTTGGTCATGCAATAGGAATAGTTTCACCTTACATTTGAGCAAGAGTATTGTTGATTGCTTTATTCTCACGATGAGTTAGAAAAGAAGTGGGAACAAAGTTACGTGTGATTATATCTTCTGTTTCATTTTCATCATCACCTAATTCTTCATTTTCTGTTCTTTGAAGTCATGGAAGACAGTCGTCAATAGGACTATCATCAGGTAAGGATTGCAGCACTTCATTGTCAATATTAATGTTAGCATAATAATGATTATTCTCTTTTAACCAGAGAAGTACTCGGGCAACTTTCACACGACGAACATTAAAATCTCTAAATACACTGGTGGACTGACGATGTATAATAAGTACATCTAAGGATGACGGATGAAAGGACAAACTCGTGCACATTCTGAGGAAAGTTAATAACATTTCCTCTGTATGTATACTGTCCCCCACGAAGACAATACACTGAAATTACAGGAAATATTTGTGCAATTAACATTTCCTCAATTTCAGTAAGATTTTGCAATTCCTCAGGTACCTCTTCCAGATCCATATTATTTTCTACAGAAAATTTTTTTGGAATAGTTTTTTCACAATAGCAATGATGGCATTCTCCTTTAACCAGTTTAATTGATGGAAAACGCTCATTACATGTGAAACAAAGGGTTTATTCAAATTTACTTATTTTGGTTCGGAATTTCTATAGAAGCTCATGATCAAATTCGGAAAGCAATCCAGTTCTAATTGGGTCTGAAGGGTTTCTATTATCATTTCTTTTTTAAATCAATTTATTCAAATCAATTTTATTTAATAGGAATAAAGGGGATTGACAAATACAAACCTTTGCATAACCTTTTCTTGTTCTTGACGATTAAGACGTTTATCAGCAGTTTCTAAAGTACTTTTTTACACAATCTCTTTTGACGCTTTCGTTTATTTTCTCTATTCAAGCGTGTTTTACATTGTTCTGCAGTTTCTGATGCCTTTTTTTTAATTTTATTTTCACGATCACGAGTACAGCAGTTTTCACGTTTATCAGGAGTCTCATTCTCTTTACTTTTGCATTTTCTAAGCATTGCACTCATTGCATTATTTGAATAACCCATCGTTATTAATCTTTTATTCAAAAAAAAATTAACGATTTATTTAATTCAGAAAATTTTGTAAACTATCTTTTGCCACGCTTATCCTGAAAACCAGATATACTTTACGTGATTTATACACGTGTTATACAATTTTTCACAATTTATAGAGGATCGCGACTCACGTCAACTCGTAATTCACAAGTTATACTCGTAAAATACTCAAATTATATATATAGTACTTGAATCATATAATTCAAATGATTTTATTTGGATTTATTCAAGTTAATAATAAGGAAAGTAATAATTCTAATTTATTATTTGACTTTTAGGAATATTGTATCTAATAAATCCATATTTCTCTTTAAAAATAACATTTCTTATCAATTCTAGATTAAGGCTTATATGTTTGATTGTAATACATGTATTATCAAATAATTAACATTATGTACTTAATTCAAATGATTCAAGACGAGTTCAACTACTATACCAAATACTTAATGATGGAGATAAATTTAAATTGTATATCACAAATATTATCGCAAATCTCTTTATTCGAAACATCATCTTCTGGGTATTTATCATTTCATCAATTGAGAAAGCAAGGATCCTTTTTGTTTAAATCATTAATTGAATTTTCTGCATCTTCATTTGGATCATTTTAACGATAGCATATATAAAAATGTATAACAAAAAAACTAATTTTAATTAATATATTATTTTTTTTTAAATTAAATTTTATTTAAATACATAAATTATCATGAATAACAAAAGTGCTATGAAATACTACAGTATATTTTTTCCGAAACCTGTTTCTCCGAAAATTTTAGGCAGAATTATCATAATGTGAACTGAACTTTTCAGGATAATATCATAAAATTCAAATAAAAAAAAATCTCTGCACGTATGTAAATGTCTCTAAAATTATGACATACACATCAATTATTGTGCAAGTTTTATTCGAAATCTTTAATGCAGATATATTCAATAGGTGTATGTTTTTTTATTGTATTTGCATATTTAAACAAATATTTGCGCTTGTGCAACTAATTTTAAATACTGGTCATTGGATGGAATTTACTGAAAAATCATGATCCTCGCTGTTTCCGCTCCAGACATTAACAGAGTCTGTTAACCTAGTTATTATTTATTTTTAAAATAGTTTTCTCTTGTTGTATCTTTTTTATATTTCTGATTTTCATGTATCTCAAATTTGTATTTTCTTAGATTATTCAAATAAAATTTTTGCACATTATTGCATTTTGCTTTTTAAATTATCTAATATTATTTCAAGAGCTGCTATTCACATAATTGACACTTCTGCTTTTATTCTTGTTCTCTCTTTTCTCTTTCTTTTTTTTTTTTAAGTATTTTATGTTCATTTCTTAAATTTAAATAATTACATTTCTTCAAATATCTCAGCATCTAGTGATCTGTTCAGGATATAATTTATACCATTATGAAGCTCTTAACTTGTTGAACACGTTGATATTAATTTTATAAAATTCTGATCAGTAAATCACGAGTAATTTATCTCTGAGACTTTGTTTTAATCTTTATTATTATAGGAATATTTAAAAATCAGTGGCACAGTATAATCATATGACATGAATTGGACTTATAATTCTTTTTTCTTTTATTTTTCCATTGATACTCTACTTTTTTAAATACTTTGTATTCATTAGAATGTGTTTTTGTCCTTCTTGGATATTCAAAACTATTTGCTATTAGTTGATACAATTGTAAGTAATTAAATAATAATATTTTTCTTAATGCTTTAAATTCAATTTTTAATTTAATTATTCTATTAATTAAATCTCTACTTTTATTTTCCATTTTAACAGTATCAGAAATTTCTTTATAATAAATACAGATTATAATATTGCAGTAATTTTTTGATTTATCATCTGCTTCAGATCCATCATCATTGATTAAAGTAGCTTGAAAAGTTTTAATAGATGCTTGTGTTGGATTATCTTTTCCTTCTAATTCATCTGAAAATTCTTCTTCTTTTACATGATCTTTTCAAGGGTTAAATTCTAATTTAATTATAGAATTTGCTTCTTTTAAAATTTCTTTTGTATTTCCTTTTTTAGATATTTTATCAAATGATGTCATATTGTATCATATATTATGTGATTTGTTTTTAATTTATATTTTAATTAATAATTTGTGTTTTAACTTGATTAAATTGTTTTAAATAATTCAAAATATTTCAAAATAAATGTTACAGATTTATACTTTAACTTGCAAGTTCGTCTGCTTAATTCTTTTTAATAAAGTAATACGTCACTCAATTTACTTTTCCTTAGAAAGAGCGGTTCATTGCTCAATTTCTTCAAATTTCATATATTTGCTAAATCTGTTAGCAGTCTAAAATCAATTCTGTTTTTCAATTTCTCTTTAACTCAAATTTTTATACATCTCGTTAAATCTGTTAGCGGTCTGTTATGTATAAAATCAATTCTATTTTTCAATTTCTTTTTTTAACTCAAACTTTTATACACCTCGCTAAATATGTTAGCAGTCCATTATGTATAAAGTCAATAGTATTCTGACAGAAATCACCACTTATTAACATTACTCTTTCCGTTGAATAAGTTAACTATGATTTGAAGTTAGGGAAACAATAGCTATAACTTAAATCCAATCAACTTGACACACTGTTTATTAGAGAGTTTATTTAGTTAACAAGAATAAAATTATAAATTTTATGTTTGCAAAATGTTAAGAGTATTTATTATTGTTAATAGATATATATTGAATACAATGTTAGAATCTGTTAGAATCTGTTGGAATCTGTCCTTTTTTCAGGGTATTTTCATATTCTTTATATAAGAAAATTACAATTAAAGAAAATCTATGGTATTTATGATACTACTGACAATAATAACAGAATTAACAGATATGCTAATTATGTTAAATATGATATAAATAATAATAATGATAGAAATGATATAAATTATAAATATGTCTGATTTGGCAAATATGTCATATTTGATAGGTCTATCAGTTTCTGCTAGTTTCAATACGTAATTTGTATGTACTAATGTTAGTAGGATAATAAAATATACCATTTATTCAAGGATCTATAAATCATTGATTCTAATTAGCTTTATTTTCATTTTTGATTCTTTTTAACGTCATCCTATCTTACAATTTGCAAAATGTAAATTAGGGATGTATTTTTTTATTAGTAATTCAAAATTGCGTAATGAGTGAAATAGAATATACCAGAACTTCTTTTAGCTTGATGCTGAAGAAGTTTATCAGTACAGTCAACTTTTGATATAGCGAACTTTTAATAAAATAAATTTTTAAATAAATATAATAAAAATACTCTTGTTATAGTGAATTGGTCAATCAAATCTCTTAAAATCTTCACTATAGTTTTATAGTGAAGTTGAGGTCTAAAACATAGAATTCATTATAATAAGAGTTGACTATATATTTAGTTATATTTATCTATCCATTTTTAGATAAAATCAAGAACTTTGTTTTTATAGCAAATTTTTTCATTTTAAGTTTACTTCTTTATGAACTTGATCTAAAATTTTTGTATTAATCCATTTCTTAATAGAAGATTGTAAAAAGGTTATAATATTTGTTAATTTTAAGATTTCTAGAAAAGAAAAAGAAATATTTGCTAAAATTAATACATGTAATAATTGATATGTATTGCTATTACTTTATTTATAAATATATTTTTATCTATAAAAGACTTTATAGATTTTTATACATAATAAATTTCTAATTCATTTTTATCTATATTATTTATATTAAATAAAGAAAAATAATTATTTTAATAATTTTATAATTTATCTATTAAATTAGAAATATATTACTATTATTATTTAACTTAGTTTCAATATGAAAATATTTATTTTTATTTTTATTATTATTTATGTTATTTAAATAAAGAATATTTCAAATTTCTTTACTAATTTTAAAATATGCTTCTTTAAGATACTTTAATATATTAACAGGTATATCATATATTTTTTCAGAACAATATTTATATATTACTTTATAATAAAAACTATAAGTAATTGATTTTCAATAAAGTAAAACTAAATAGAACTTATTTTTCTACTTTATTTTTAGTGGTATTTTTGATGATATAATATATAAAATTGAATTATTATGACACATTATGCAAAATTAAATTATTAAAAATCTAGTTTAATATTCAGTAATAAATTAATCTATCAAATGAAATATATTTATATTTAACCTATTATATTTATCTTTATTATTAACTATTATTAATTACTTATTAACTTACATAGATTAAAAATAAAAATTATGATTATTTAATAAGTACTTATTAATTACTTATTAATTAAGATTAATATTTAAAGATTTAAAAAGTTTTATTACTATTTGTATTTATTTTATTAAAATTTTTTGAGAATAAATAAGTAATAATTATTTGTATTATTTCAAATAATTAATTGAATGGATAAAATATAAATATTTTTAAATTGATTTTTTTTTCAAATATGTGATAAAATAGTTTAATAAATTTAAAATTAATTATTATCATATTGAACACAATTTTATTAAATTAGAAATTATATTAATTAATAAATTTTATTTATTTTTTTAGTTTTTATTTTATATGAATTTTTATAAATTATATAATTACTATTACATATTAAAGAATTTATATATTATTTAGTAAAGTAATCATAATAAAATTATAAAAATTATATTTTTGCATTTCTTATAACTAAATCAAAAAATATATTTAATAAATTATTTAATAATATTTAAATACTTATAATTAATTAAAAATAATGAAATATTTAAGTATTTCTATTTTAATATTTTAATTATATTAATTTTTAATTTTTTATCAGATGAGATAACATTTTATTATCAAAAATGAATTATTATAAAAAATTGATAATGATATTTAAATATTATTTCCTAATAAAAAAATATTTATAACTATTTATATTTATCAAAAAATATAATATTTCTAATTATAAAAATTAAAGAAATTTATTATATATAATATT